AACAAAGAAAACACTGTTTCATACCTTGAGTGACAGAACGGACGTGAAATAGTTTGCTATAATTTCAAGATTAAAGTTTTAATATACAACTCATTGATAGGAAGAAAATATGAGTAAAACCTTAGGTCAAGGATGAGGGCCGGATCGGCCTTCGCTTTGTCCACTTCGCTGTTGTAGAATATAATCTTACGACTCGACACAACCACGTATTGCTTTCTCCAGCCGTGTCGGCGAATGTTTTGCTTATTAGGTATTGATAGCCATCCCTCCAAACGAAAGTTCTCCATATCATTGGATTCAATCTCTTTGATAGTACTATTGATGATGTGTTCGTCCGAAAGCCTTAAAATCATTTTTTGTCTCAACTGTTCGTTTTCGGCGTCTTTCGAATCCAATTCCATTTGAAGTTTCACTTTAAGCTGACTTTCGTCGTACAGAATGGCCTGCATTTCAGACGCCTCTTTCTGGAAGCGCGACACCATTTGGCTGTAATTCTCGCGTTCCTATCAGTCATTCACACAATTAAATATAGATATAACTAAATATAACTAAATAATGCTCTTAAAGACACATACAGTAGTCAAGTCTTGTTGCAATTTCCGGCACTCCTTTTCTTTGCGTCTGAGATCAGCAGAACTACCCTTACTTTTCTTACCACTCAAATTCATGTCTCGTCTGTTCATTATTTCTGCCAATTTGTTGACCGCCTGTTCGCCCAAAACAAACAATTGTCTCAATCAGTGGTCATTTCAATCATTATATAGTAATAGATATGCAATACCTGTTGTTTAAGAAGCTTTTCTTGTTGTAATTGTTTGGTCAACTGTTCCACTTTGTCGTTATGAACCGTTTGGTTGATGTAATTATTCATTTCTATTTCAAACACAAGTTATTAAATTAGAAATTAATTGATAAGTAATTTATATATTAATGCAAACCTTGATTCATAAAATGTATTTTTGTATTCAATTCTTCCTTCTCTTTAGTTATGATTTCAACAGTTTTTGAGTATTCGCTCTCTTTATTCAAATAAGTATTTATTATCTCTTCTTTAGTATTCAATTCAGATCTTAGACGCCGTTCGCTGTCCTCAATCTCGAGCTCTCGAATGGCCTTTTCTTTTTCCAAATCAGCGGTCAATTCTTCTGCCTGTCGGCGAGCGATGCCTTCCGTCTCAGCCCTCGCCAATGCTATCTCTATTTGATGGCAAAGACTACTCCTATTTGCAAAATAATATAATAATAATAATTCATTGCACTAAACAGTTTACGCTATATTTTCATACTTTTCTTCTTCAAAATCATTAAAAAATCGCTGTTTGTCTTCAATTTCTTCTTTAAGTTCTTTAACTTGTGTTTTATATAAAGAAGAGAAGTATTGTTCAGCTTCTAACTGATCCTGAAGTTCCTTTAGTTGCAACTCATCCATAGATCGCTCGCTAAATAATATGAATATACATTTAATACACAATAAACACAAACTAATATTATTGTAGAAGAGAAGTATTGTTCAGCTTCTAACTGATCCTGAAGTTCCTTTAGTTGCAACTCATCCATAGATCGCTCGCTAAATAATATGAATATACATTTAATACACAATAAACACAAACTAATATTATTGTAAATAATTAGAAACCTCTTTAAACGCGTCAACTCATCTTCTGTTTTCTTCTTACTGTCTTTCAAATCATTCAACTCTTTAATGAAATTCATCTCTCGTTGTCTCAAACTAATGATTTCTTCGGTCTGTTCTTTGAGACCCAACTGCAAGTGCGACCGTTTGTTCACGTCTTCATCTAATTGTACTTTAAGTGCTTTTGTCTTATCGTTCTCTTGTCTCAATTCGCCCTCAATTTTTTGAATTTGTTGCATAAGTTGTCTGTAGTCCACGTTTATCATTGAGATCTGTCTCTCTTTCTCCTGACACTGATTTTCAAACTTTTGGCGCAAACTTTTCTCGTCATTCAGTTTGGATTGAAGTGCTAAACAAACCATTCAATTAATATACTAATCAAAATACAATAGAAGAGAAGTATTGTTCAGCTTCTAACTGATCCTGAAGTTCCTTTAGTTGCAACTCATCCATAGATCGCTCGCTAAATAATATGAATATACATTTAATACACAATAAACACAAACTAATATTATTGCAAATAATTAGAGACCTCTTTAATCGCGTCAACTTGTCTTCTGTTTTCTTCTTACTGTCTTTCAAATCATTCAACTCTTTAATGAAATTCATCTCTCGTTGTCTCAAACCAATGATTTCTTCGGTCTGTTCTTTGAGACCCAACTGCAAGTGCGATCGTTTGTTCACGTCTTCATCTAATTGTACTTTAAGTGCTTTTGTCTTATCGTTCTCTTGTCTCAATTCGCCCTCAATTTTTTGAATTTGTTGCATAAGTTGTCTGTAGTCCACGTTTGAGTAACTCTAGACAGAGAGAAAGAGGACTGTGACTAAAAGTTTGAAAACCGCGTTTGAAAAGAGCAGTAAGTCAAACCTAACTTCACGATTTGTTTGGTAAGTTAATTATATGATTAGTTTTATGTTATAGTGTCTCATTTAACACAAACCTTGTAATGACTCGAAGTCCGGGTTTTCTGTTGATCTCTGTTTGTCAGCATTGAATGAAGCGATCGCTTCTTCGTGAGCACTCGTCTCCTGTTCTAACTTTTTATGTGAATTATTTAATTCAATTGAAAGCATCGCTCTTTCCTAAAGTAATGTCAGATAAATATTAATATTAATTTGTATTTTTCAATAACAGTTAGTCTTTGCTTCAAACCTTCTCCATCTCTACTATAGTATCGGTGAGTCTCTGATTTTGAATGGCTGTCGTGGCCTCGCGTTCACGCAGTACTTCAAGTTCGTGTTGTATGAGTTGTTTTCGGTCTAAAGTGTAATATATTTAATGAGAAAAATGACACAAATAACCATAAGTAACAAAATGTGATTACTCTCTAAATCCTGAGTCCTATCATTGATTTGAGCCCAAGAGTTGTGCGCCTTATCCATCTGGCTCTGGAGGTTTTGAATATCCAGCGCTTGATTGGTGTTAACTCTTTGAAACATTTCAATCTTTTCGCTCAACTCGTCAATAATTTTCTCTTTATTACTAGAGTTTAGTGTCAACTCTGCGTTCAGTTTCTTAAGTTTGACTGCAGTTTCAGATTCTGTTTTAAACTTTTCGCTGAGTGTCGCGAACTGTTTCTCCAAAACCACAAACTTGTCGTTTGTGTGTTGTGTTGAATGCGTGAGTTGTGATCTGAGACTCTGTTCCTGTTCTAGTTTGGCCCACAATTCGCTCACTTTTATCTCCACTTTTCGCCGGTTATCGCATTCGAGTTCATACTTTCTTTGGGCCTTTTGTTCACAATTTTCCATTAATTAAAAAATTACATTATATTCTATTAAACAAACCTCTTTGATGTCATGTCTTAAAACGGTTAATGCCTTCTCCACCTCTAACTTCTCACTCCTTAAGGCAACCAAATTATCACTTTGTTTCTCGAGTTGTGTTAACGTTATTCTTAATAAATAATTAATATGTGTGTGAATTACAAACATTTCAAATCCCAAACAAGTGATTACCGATATTTATTATCAATTTCTTTATTAATGGCAGTTATTCTGTGGATCTCGTCCTCAAGTTTTTCAAATTTTCTTTTATCAATTTCGGGCTTTTGAGAGAAAATTGTGTTAAACAAAAAAAAATCCATTTCAACGCTCAATACCTCAATAGAACCGTTTCTCTTTCGATCAGTTCTATCTCTGGACAACAACTGATAATCACTGGAATAAGTAAAGCCAACGAATGGCATATTGTTTCCGGCAAACGCTTTCGGGACGGGAAAACTTTCTTCTGTTGTGTCGTCTTTTTCGATGTCATCGAAATTACTGGTGTCGTCGTCGCTCATCAACTCGGGAACAACTGGAGGGGCGCCTGAATT